ACACACACACACACACACACACACACACACACACACACACACACACATACACACACTAGCACTTGCAGTACGTGTTATTACAGTCAGTACATCATTGTAATGACTTGCAATATATTACTTATAACATAACTATTTATAACATATATAGAGTGCTTGTATATTGGTTAGTATCTCTCTAAAATGACGGCCAACGCGAAGTTTGTTACATACTACCAAAACATTCGCGGACTGAGAACTAAATGCCTTAATTTATTTAATAATATCCTTTATAATGACTTTGGTTTTATTATTATTACCGGGACTTGGTTACAGAAAGACGTATTACATTATGAATTATGTAATAGTAGTAGTAGTACGATGTTCTAAGATGTGATCGAGATTTAGTAAAAACTAATAGGAAAGGAGGAGGTGGAGTTATGACTTGTATTAAACGCGAGTATAATGCGGTGCTAATAAATGCTTGGTCAAGTTCGAGCGCGTCGTTCGAATTAATGTGTGTAACTATACCTGCAAAGTCACTTAATAATAATATCAGCTTGCATTTATTCGTATGTTACGTGCCGCCTGATGAGGTAAAAACCACTAGGGCTTTAGAAGATATTGTAACCAAAATCAAATCTTTTATAAATACAAAACCAAAAGATAACTTTATCCTGATAGGTGATTTTAATATGTCATCCATAAAATGGAATTCTAATGGTTTCACACACTCTCAATCTGTAGCGGGTGATCAAACTTCGGAGAGTATTCTTTTTGAGTTTGCAGATGAGATTGGTTATTGTGGACTGAAGCAGTATAATCTTATTGGAAACCACTATGACAATGTGCTAGATTTGTGTTTCAGTACGTTACCCCTAATTGTTACCAGAACTAAAAACCCGATTATACCGGATGATATTTGCCACCCCCCGTTACATGTAGATATTTTAGATGTATTTACTAAACCCTTAAAGAATGCACACTCGGAACACTTCATACATTCTAAAAGTAATTATGACGAGATTAACTATTTTTTGATAAAATTGACTAGCATTCTTTGTTTACATCACGCACAATTGATGAGGCGATGGAAATTTTTTACTTGAAAGTGTATTCAATTTGATTGTTCCAAAAAAACTTGTTAGTAAAAGTTCCTACCCAGTTTGGTATAGACCCGGTCTCGTTAAAATCATTCGTGAGAAATTTAAGGTACACAGAAAATGGAAAAAATGGAACAATCCTCGTGATTACGACGAATTCGTTCTCCTGAGGGCAAGACAAAAACGGGTGTAAGATATATGTTTCAAAAAATTTACTATGCACTCTCAAAAAAATATTGATATTCACCAAAATATTTTTGGATGTACGTAAAATCAAAAAGAGGTGATTCGAGCTATCCTGCACAGTTTACTCTTGGCAGTAATATAAACCCAGTGCCGTCAGTATCTGTACAGCCTTTAACTCATTATTTGAGAGTGTTTTCAAAGTCCCATCATCAGTATCGGCAACTTCGACGTTAACACCCACGACATCGACCGATTCAATTGACAGCATAGCTGGTATTGATATTAATCTAAGTCGAGTACATAAATTGTTGGTAGCACTGGATCATGATAAGGGGCCTGGTTGCGATAACATCCCTCGAGTGTTCTTAATAAAATGTGCTGATAGTCTAGCCGCTCCTATCACTTTGCTCTTTAAGAAATCCTTAGAATCACAAATTTTTCCCACAGTATGGAAAAAGGTCAATATCATGCCCATACATAAAAAAGGGTCCAGGTCCTCCATTGAAAATTATAGGCCAATCTCTATTTTAAATGTCATAAGCAAGGTTTTCGAAAAAAATATTTACATTTATATTTATCCCGTTATTAACCATGGAATTGCATTAACTTAACATGCTGTCTTGAAATCCAGATCTACAATAACAAATCTTTCTAGTTTTTCAAATTATGTCATTAATGAACTGGAGAATGGAGGTCAGGTGGATGCGGTCTACACTGACTTCCAAAAAGCCTTTGATCGTGTTGACCATGACATCCCTATTAACAAGTTATTGGCTTTGGTTATTCATGGTGACCTGCTTCGTTGGGTTCATTCCTATTTGTCCAACCGCTCCCATGCGGTTATTGTGGGTGGTTACAAGTCTGACTACATTCACGTTCCTTCTGGTATGCCCCAAGGTTCGCACTTGGGTTCTCTCTTCTATAATGTCTACATATATGATATATAGTCCTGCTTTAGAAATTCTCGCCACCTCTTATACGCAGATGATAAAAAAGTATTTCTATCCGTGAGATCATACACCGACTGCAAATTAATACAAGATGACTTAAACAATTTATTTGCTTATTACACACGCAACAACATCACTGTAAATATAAACAAATGCCAATGTATCAGTTACATGCGGAAGAGGGTACCCCATTCGTTTTCATATAATTTTAATGGCATATTAATAGACAGAGTTGAGCAAGTGCGCGATCTTGGAGTAATCATGGACAGTAAAATTACTTTTGTTCCACACTTAGACTGCTTAGTGGGTAGGGCCCTTCGTAGTTTGGAATTTGTTATGCGCACATGTAAACCATTCAACGACATTCAGTCCATAAACACTGTTTATTTCGCATACGTCTGCAGTGTGCTCGAATACGCTAGCCCCATCTGGTTGCCGATTTACAACATTCACAAAAGCCATATAGAACGCATCCCGAAAAAATATGTAAAATTCTTAAAGTTTAAGTTTAAATATAGTGTTGATTTCTATATCGATAGTTGTCGAAAATTTAATTTGAAGACACTTGAAGATATAAAGGTCTTGTCTGATTTTGTTTTACTGTATGACATTATTCGAAACCGGCTTAATTTTCCTTTTTTTTTTAAATTAATTGTCCTGAACTCGTTCCTGGCATTAGATTTTCGGTCCCACGCTATCGCACAAGACATACACGCTTATTTAATGTTCCCCATCACTCAACTAATTATGGACAAAGCGCAGTGCTCACAAGGTTATGCCGTACATATAACAATATCTTTCATGATATAGATTAGTTCAGTGAGTCAAGAAGAACCTACAAGGACTTTGTGTGCAAGAAAATTGCAGTTTGGAATGAATCGCAGAGCCAGTAATGATGGTTGCCATTATTTGATTAATATTATGTTTTATTTTTGTTTTTCTTTTTGCTTAAAGTTACTTAATTTTTTCCTTTCGCAGGACGAGTAGTGTTTATTGTTAGTAGATTTTATGACACGCCAAGACGCCAAGTGATAAGTTTCTCTTTCTTTTTATTAGATACTTATCGTCGTATAATACGCACTTATCTGTATGGACTGTTAATGCCACTTATCTGTGCGGATTGTTAATGCGAGACAGTCTGTTTATTACGACTAAATTATATGTAATCCAGAAAATCTGTAATTGGCCTTACCACTGACTAGCATTAAGTACATTTTACTTGAATTAGGCTGTTGATTTTCTTAAATAAATAAATAAATAAGAAAGTAACTGTGTTTTATTACATGTGTGCGTAATGTGTGAAGTCCCCAACCCCCATTGGAGTCATGTAAATATTGAAATAAACACACCACCACAAATAAACACATTACCACAGTGTAATAGGAAATAATTGGTTACACTGTGATATTACTATGCTTACCACCGAAGGTATATCCATCATTTCACCGGTCTCTCTGCTTTTTCTCTGAAATTTAAAAAGTACAAAATTTTAGAATTACAAACTTAAATCTTTACGAACTACACGTGTATGTGTGTGTTTGGACATGTGTATGTAAAAAACCAACCTTAAAATTTTGTGGAATTACATCTATTTACCAAGTTTTATTGAAATCGGTTAACGGAACATGCACGGAACTGGATTCAGCCCATAGTTTGCCACCCTCAGAGGTGGAATATTTTCTCGAAATTTAAATGGACTGACTCTTTCCAATAAAAAAAATCAAAATCGGTTCACAAATAATCGGAGTTATCGCGTAACACACACACAAAAATAAAATACAGTCGAATTGAGAACTTCCTCCTTTTTTGAAGTCGGTTAAAAAGTTAACGTAAAGCAAATGATGGCCATTATAAAAAATATACAAAATGTACTCCTTGACTATCTGCAATTACGCAATTACAAACTGCCTTTGAAAATTTGTAAAACGGATTTTTTTTTAATAAAATTTTATTGTAAGTAATGAAACTATTTTTCCGGATTAAAATCGCGTATATTTGTTTTTTCAAACAAACCCAAAAAAGTTTATTTGAAAAAACAAATTTACGCGATTTTAATCCGGAAAAATAGCTTTATTTCCAATGTGTAACAATTGTGAAAACCTAAAAATTTTATAATTTACATGCTTAAAAGACAGACCATTTGGACAAGTGGACTGATCAGGAAAATAGACCGACCTGGAAATTAGACGAAGTGGGAAATGGGCGAATAGGGAAAAACAAGTGCACCGATCGGGAAAGCAGACGAATAGTGAAAATGGACCAATCGGGAAAATAGACGAAATGGGAAATAGACCAATCGGGAAAGTGGATCAATTGGACAAAACCAATTGCACCTGAAGTTAAATACTGTAATAGGTATACGTAGCGAGGAATGGTGAAGAAAGACGCTTGGAGTCTCCAACAGTTTAACGGCGTTTATTGACGTATTTGTATGATCAACATAAGAGACGTGCTCTCTTATGAGGAACGACGATTCTATGAGCTTTCACTAAGTATCCGGATCATCGAGCGAGCAGAAGGCGCGTATTACCTTTAACAGCTTATATGACTTACTATAGCTTTTTCTCTTATAATCTCTTTTTGGCTTTCTGAGCACTTTATATTATTTCATGTTGGTGGAAATTCGTAAATCGCATTGGGTTACTCATATTTAAATATACTATAATTGTATTATTTGTCCATGAATTTCCCTAAAATGTATAATTAAATAAATAGTGAACATTTCGATAGCGCGTTCTATTTTGATCTCAATGCCATCTAACGGCAAGGCGAGGTTACAAATATTTCATTACAGTACTAATTATTTTAAAATTAATTACTTTTTATTAAAAATATTCATGTGATAGATACATAACAACGAACAAAATGGGCCGCATCGGCAATAAAGGCAAAACCTACTTCACATAAAGCTCCTTGCAATATACCTACAGATATAATTATGTTGCTGTAATCATAACATTAGATCTACCAATCTATTCGTACTTAATTTATATAAACATTGTCCTTTTGTTTAAAAAACCTTATGCTTTTTCTATATAAAGCGAAAATATTATATAAATTTTCTATATAAAAAATATATAAACGAAATACGCGTATATCACACATACAGTTGTTTCTATTTAAATGGTCTTTTACGTACAGAACTTCTGCGCCCACTCCGTCTCTATAGCAATAATTTAATCCTTCCAAGTGAAACCAATGAACAAAATTCGCAATTAATTTACAATACTGATTTTGCCTTTTGCTAAAAAATATCATGTTTCACGTGAAAAAAGGCCCAAATTCAGTAAACAGAACGAATAGCCTGTCGTCTTCGCCACAATAAGAATTGAAATGTGAGTGAATGCAAACTGCAATTAAGCTCCCTGTTACTTATATACATTTATTACAATAATGATAGTAACATGTAGAGTGTATGTAATTAATAAAAATTCGAAGTCTGTAAACCTTATGGTTATCAAAGTTTTTTTTATATAAAACACTTCTCTTAATATCACAGGTAGAGAAACATTACTTTATTATCGTTGCTTAAAGTGTTTTTTACGTACAAAATTTCTGCGTCCACTCCGTTCCTAAAATAAAATAAATAAAAAAACTAAGTGAAAAACTGACTCGGCAAAATGGTTAATTAATTAACTCTCCTAAATACCTTTCGTTACATATCCGACACTCAATCAGAGGGAGTTGTTATTAATAGCCAAGACACAAAACTTTAATTCCAAGATCCTAAATTTATACAAATCCCGTAGAATCATGGAGGTTTATAAAAAACCATCCAAGAGCGTGTCGGATACGATTAAAATGTGATTTCTAAGCCAAGAACGTTTTAAACACATTACATTTTAAATTTATTTTTATGCACGAAGTGCTAATGTAAGTAAGTAATGTAAGTTGTAAGTAATGTAAGTTATTAAAATGAGAGATTTATGTACAAAAAGCTGTAAAATTTTTTAACAAAGTATTTGTTATGATACCACGTAACGGGACGAATAAATTGCGTGGTGGAAAGCGACACGCCTATCCATTACAGGTGCAGTACTATTCAAAGCTTTATATCGCAAAGTTTTGAGGGACACTGCCACATGTCCGTGACCCTAAGACATAAAGTTGACAAGTTCCACGTGCCTGTCATTATACCACCACCCTTACTTACTCAAAGTGCATTTGTTTCAATTAAAAAATCTCCTATGTAGATAGCTGTTGATGTGTCGAGAATCTTCTGCTTTTTTAAATTGTTATTTTTTTTAATTAGCCAACAATAGTTTTTTATTGTTGGATAAAGGCCTCTTCCTCGTACTTCTAATTCTCTCCATCCACAGCAATCCCATCCAATAAGTCATCCCGTCAATTACGCCTGGGCCTGCCGCGCCATCGATGGCCATCGTGTTTTATTTAATTGTAATTTTTTAAAGAATTTATTCTTGTTAATCTCAAATCCAAATAATCATCATTTTACAGGTAAGCAAATCTGAAAAAATGGAGTAAAAATTTCTAGGGGTTGCTCTTTGTAAATAAACATTTCGATATTTTTTTTTATACATGACAGGCCAATGACTCCATTGCACCTGATGTAAAATGGTAAACGGAATCCAAACTTGAAGGAAGCTAGTACAGTGTTAATATAATCACCACCCTAGCCTACATGCCTACAAGATGCCACTTCCTACCTCGTTTGTAGGACCCCATATCGTAAGATAGAGGGAATACGTGCGCTGGAAGGAAGTTCCATTTCTCAACTGTGTGTCAGAGGAAGGTGCCACCAAACCTTTTAGTTCTCGATGGCGTACGGCTAGTCGTAAAACGGTATCTACGAAGGCCAGCACATGTGCTTCGGAGCAGGAAAGGGGAGGGCAGAAAGAGGTTGTACAGTTCTTTAGAGCACTCGCCATAGAACAATACTCAACGCAAGACCTACTCGTAGCTTGTGCTTTGTACAAGAGGCGTAATTGGTCAGGCGTGAGGAAACGACGCACCTTGTTCAGGACACCGACTTTTTGTGAAGCTGTTTTTATCACCTTTTCGATGTAACTAACTCCTTGGATTCAGATTGGAGCAGATCTCCATACCAAGCAAGGTGATACTGCTTTGATGCATCAGATTTGTGTTCATCAGAGAAAGAGCGGGAAGGAACGGTATCAATTTTGCCGTAAACGCGGAGACTTGTGTTTTCTTGGCAATGAACTCAATAAGCGTCCAGCCGAGGGGCAGCCGAGATATCCGTCGTGAACTGTGCTATCATCTGCATAGCAATGAATGTTCCCTAGAGAGAGCATATCATTGATATGCGAAAAAGCGTGAGGGATAAAACGGATCCTTGTGGTACGCCAGCATTAACATTCATGAACTTAGAAATGCAGCCCTCAGAAACTACAAGAATTCTCCGCTCACGAAGAAAGTCAGCAATCCAACCGCATAACTGGTCTGGCAAACCGTATGCCGGAAGCTTGGAGAGAAGAGCTTTGTGCCATACACGATCAATTGCTTGGGCTGAAGTCAACACTTATTAGTCAAAAACTTATTAGCCAAAGACTCACCCGGTTTGATAAGTACGCTAGAAGGTCACCCGTCAATCGTTTCGGCGAAAACCCGTCAGTATGGGTATCATTAATTATAGAGTGATCTTCTAGGTATTGGATCAGTTGCTTGTTGAGGATCCGTTCGAACACTTTGCATATGATGTAAGTGATGGCTATGGGGCGGTAATTAGTCGAGTCTGAACGGTCGTCTTTTTTAAGGACAGGTTGCACATTAGCCCCTCTCCAAGAGTCCGGTACACGACCAAAAAAGAACGACAGACGGTACAGACGCGTTAACATTGGGGACAACTCAGGTGCGCAGTTTTTCATAACAACCGCTTGGATGCCATCAGGACCACTAGCTTTCGCTAGAGACTGCAGCTCCAAGAGAAAGGGTGCTGGTGAAATTACTAGCACATTGGACTTGTCAACTTATGTCTCAGGGTGACATGCGCAGTGATAGTGCTCCTCAGATCTTTGCGATTCAAAGCTCTGAGTAGCACTGCCACTGTTATGGATAAGCGTGTAGCTTGCCATCAGGCCCACACCTTGTTCGTTCCATCACTTGACATTACAAAAAAATAAAAAAACTTATTTTCACTATTATGACTGTGTAAGTGTGTCGCTTACCACCAGATGCACGACTTGTTTGTCCCGTCACTTGGTATCGTAATAATATCAGATCAATAGTGTCTTTCAAAAAGGATCTGGTTAAAAGTACTAAGAATAAAAGAGAATATGAAAAGGCCGACGCAAGTGAAGGAAGCACAAGAAGTGTGTCAGGAAATCAATTAGAGGTTCGTAACCCATATGAAGATAAGCACGTATGTTTGTATGTTTGTTGTTTAAAATTACCACTGGTATATTCTCGTATATGGACGGTGTACGCTCAGGGCTATGATAGGATCTCTCGTATAGTCTCTGCAACAATACATACTAGATTATTTGGTGCGTTAAAACAAATGCCATTTTGTGTGAAAAAAATATAATAAATAATATTTTATTAGTTGATGTTTTGTCACGGTCGAGAAATGTCGATTGAAACGTCGACCCTTTTTAGTACTCTTAGAAACTTGCGATCGATATAAATCGATATTCAGAGAAAATGTTTTGGACACTGTAATCAATAGATGTGTTTCGTTACATTCAGCTATTTTAGTCAAAACGTTTGACGTTTCTTGATTGTAAACATTGTTAATCGATGAAATTTTGAAAATTGACAAAAACGCAACGTGTTTTGATAAAGATTTCAAAATTTTTCGACTTATCGTCTCTACTAGTATGCAAATAATTTTTTTTTTTCAAAACGATTAGTAAGCTTATCTGTAGATATTGAGGATGCACACACCACACCACACACACCACAGTGAGATATAAGGGAGCAATCACCACCTAAGCTCTTAACGGCAACCTTACCTGCACGTGGTGCAGCCTGCAGTAACTAACAAGGCTCTGGAGACCAGTCGATGGCAGTATAGCCCTTCCCATAATGATACAGTAAAAAAAAATCACACATTCAGACGTACCTACAACCGGATTGAGTCAACATTACGCATTTTCTGCGACTAAACTTATACAATTGTGTCATTTCCTATTGAATGAGGACATGAGAAAAAAATAGCTAATAGTATGTATAACAATTGATACAATTTCAAACTAGTGAATTATCTGTAGACCTTCGGGTACGATTTATTATTTTCATATTCTTCTTCGCATATCGACTCTGACTTTCATATTTGTGAGGACCAGTGGCGTACCACCTTTCCAAAAACAATCTAATTTCAATGTAAGCTTAAAATAAGCTTATTATAATATTACTCATTTTCGTACCATGACGAACCTGTCAACCAAGTAATGTATTATTGCACAAGTGATTGAAAGAACGAATGATTTCCCAATATTGTCAATTCCTTACTAAAAATAGGAAAGTGATAACGCTATGTGCACTATATAACGCCATCTCTTTCTTTTTGATGTTCCGAATCGTCTTATCGTAGTATAATGTTTAAGTACTTAATGTTATTTACGTTCAGAGAATTTTAACAGTTAAAAAAGAAATGTATGTAATAATAATATCTATTAAAATAACGTTGTTATCAATAATTATTCCGCATTTTTATGAAGAAAAATAAATAAAACAAGCTGAGTCTTGATATTCACGTTTTGAATTCGGAACTATAGTCTAGTGTCAACTGTTACTTTGCCAAGGAGCATATAGATGGCGCTGTTGTAATTTTGCGAAATAAACATAGAGTATTTTTATTTAACGAAAAATTGTTTACTATGTGCTATTAAATAAAAAATAAACAAAATATTGGAGAGATATATATAAATAAATAATTTCAACTTAACTTTTAATTATTACAAATCAATATTAAGACAATGAAACAGAAAATAATATTGTTTCCATTGCCTCCGTATAACTATTTTAAGTTTGCTAAATTTGACATAAGAGCAATATTACTTTAATGTTAAAGTGGCTAGTGTTTGGGGGAGGCCTATGCCCAGCAGGTGTGGTTATAGCTCTGAGATTGCATGTATTTGTGCTGTCTCTCTACAGATTATGGCACATATTTGTCTTGTCCTGCGTGCCTCTACACCTGCACACGTAAGGGCCTGTACCATGCCACTGATAACGACTATTCATTCACTCAGTTCATACCATGGCGCGACTTTAACATTAAAGTAATATTGATCTTATGTTCTGTTGTTATGTACGTTCGTTAATTTTACAGTAGGTAATCATATTGACAGAAAAAATAGAATTTTAACGAAAAATAGTAAGAAATTAAAAAAAAACGAACGCCGCCTGTCATTATCGGGCCATTTTTATTCCATGTATTTGGAAGTTGAAAATGAACTCACTGAAAATAACAATTGAAAATACGCTCAATTTGCTTAAAATGCCGTGCCTTCATTTTTGCCTACTTTTTTATTATCTTATGTAATATTACACTGCTTTAGTCTCATTAGTACACTACCATTTATAAAGCTTTAATATCAAGTGAAATACAATTTGATAAAGTTGGGTAGTTGTTAGAAAAAATTAAAATGGGGAATTGTTTTAAAATATATTTCAGAAAAAAATATTGATACTGTTTTCTCAAAAATATTTTTCTAATTTCTATGATATTATTCATACATTCGCCATTACACAATATTATTCTCCGTTACCCAATCTTTCGTGGGTAATTTAAACCTTGTAATTGTACAATTGTACACCTTTCATTAAAGTTATGCCTTTGTATTTATTTATCTATATTTATATGAATATTTTGACGTGTATGACCTTTATATAACTTTCTAAATTCAATCACTATCCCTTTTCCAAGAATCTTCGTCTATTTATGTCTGTGTGCAGAATGAAATATGAGGGTTATTTTAATTAATCTGAAATTCCTTAGCAAGGAATTCCTGTTATTAACACAAACAACTTTTATTTTACTTGGAAAAATTCCTAACAAAATTATTTTTTTTATTGATTTCCGATACAAATCCGATGTAAATTTTTCTGGGAATTAGTAAATTTTGAACCGCATTTTTGAACGTCTTATTACACCAAAGGATTTTCGTTTTAATAACAAGGATGCCGTGTTAAGAGCACTTGGGTTAACTCGAAATAACCCAATTAAAAATAACTCATACATATTATATATTTTAGTCCTCGAGTTACAATCACACTACGCCAATTTTTCAATAGTACATCGAAATAAAATTAATTTTACTTAATAATATTTTTAATCACGTAGGATGATTTTACCGATAAAATGTCAACACAACTCTGCCTTATATATAGCAATATATAGCAACCCGTCGCTGCTAAATGTAAGAAAATTAAACGAAATTAATATTTTGCACTAAGCTATTATATTATAACAGTAAACGCATAACGAAATCACGTGTAATAAATTCGAGTCGTATTCAAATTATATAAAATAACTTGAATTTACTACAAAAGAAAATTTTTGTATTATTTAACAAAATTTATTAATGCTTCACTAAAAGCACCACAGTCAAAAATACATAAAAATCAAAGTACACAATAAAAAACCTCGTCTAATTAATGAAGTTTGGATCATAACATTGATATTTTTATGTTCAAAGGATTTGTGCCTCGAAACATTGTTACGCATAAATTCAGGTTTAGAAAAATACAAAAAGGAACGAAAATGTACTTAATTATAAAAATAAATCATTCTGTTTTTTAAATACCTTATAATGGACTTTATTAAATTACTTTTAATTTTTTTACTTACGAAAGGTAAATGTTCGATATCAATTTGACTTTCACGGCGTCTTGTCTGAAATTGGTTAGACTACGTTAATAGTTAATACTGTTTTTTTGTTTGGTTATTTTGTGAGACACACTCATGAAAATGTAAAAATAACAATCATAGTACCGATAAAATGGGAAAGGAACCCAGTAAGACAGCCCCATTACAATGCAGTACTGCCTGAAAAAAGAAATAACCAATTCATTTCTCAATTATACAAATTAACTAAATTGAAATTGCTGTCTACAGTAAGTTGGAATTCACATTTTGGACATTCGAATCCTATTCCAAGTGGCATAGAGCTTTAATATCTGTGTAAGATGTGCCGTTGTCCGTACACAGGTGTTGCGTTTACAATAGCACGGAGATAAGTATATTTTTCCCACTTCTAGAAACTCGTGTTCTCCAAAAAGAAGGCAAAGATCACGATAAGGTATATTACACTAAGTATACAATGAGTTTTGTTATGTATGATATCCAGTGACGGGATAAACAAGTCGTACGGGTGGTAAGCGACACTGCAGCTGTTATGCTTGCAGTGCTGCTCAGAGCTTTAATTACGACGAACAGAACACTGCCACTGCGCCGTCATTCTGATATATATAATTGACAAGTCCTGTGTACCCATAGTTTTACCAGCACCCAGACACTTTTCAAAACTGGAACGCAGTAACGGCTTGGTGGTAGAAATAGCTATGGTGGCAGTAGTTCCCTGGACAGACTCTTTATTATCATCACTTCATTTGAAAGACGCCTGATAACCTTAGATCTCCCCTAAAGATCGGCAAAACTTTTTATTTACCACTTAGTTAACCAGTATCATGGATTAATAAAAAAATACTGAATAATAAAAAAAACTGATAAAAATATGCTTACTGTAGCAAAAATTAGAGTTATAGCGCTATACATAATTTATTTTAATACATAATCTTGGCAACATATAATTTTGAATTTTTTTTTTTACGAAAACGTACGAAACATTTAAACGTTATGGTTATGATTCATAAAAGTCATCGCTGTGAAATTGACACACAACTTTACGATTTTAACTAATAGATAACGGAATCCTTAAGATAAAACTTTAGGTTTTATTTTATGTACGTTTTCTTATGCTTGATATTTTAACTGCAACTTTATTACAGATGACTAGAGGCGTTCGTGATGGAAGCGTCATTGTGCCACAACAAATGTAAATGATTAACCTATACATGGTTAATCAATGAGCAACCTATGGGACACAGAGAAGAATAATTTTAAATATTGTAGGTAGGATATATCATTTAACTTCATGAAGATATTTTATGTTTAAAAGTAAGTAATACAGCATTCAAAGACTTAAAAGTTACTTGTCTCGTTTCGGAATCGAACGAAAAAAAAATTATGAATTAATTACAAATATGGCAGTTTCAAGTGATTCTTTTTTTTTAATGAATTTTATAATAGGACAGTGACTTTTAATTTAAAATACTATGTTACTCAGAAGTACTTAATTTTTATAAGGATTAATTAAAGACAATTTTTTTTTTCGCATTTGATCGATTCGATTCGTAGATATTACACAGTATTACTTACTTTTAATAACAAAATAATATCTCCATGAATCAAAATACCCTATCTACATTATCTACGTACTTTCCCTCTGAGTCCCGTAGACGTGGAACATCCTATATACTTAAGTATTAGAAAAGGGGCAAGGTGTGGCACACACTACAATGCAATAACTTTGACGACGCGCTGCATATACTCACGGCGATTTGCAATGCCGATAGTAAAAAATAAACATTTTGTTATTCATTTGTACGCATTTTTTTTTAACGCACACACTCAACATAGCCCCGCACTACGGAAACCCTGTGTCGCGGGTGCCATGGACACACACTTAGACAACCACAAATTACACCCAAACTCACGAGAGAAATAATTGTAGGCCATACAAATATTTCTCCCGGCCCGGGAATCGAACTTGGGACCTCTGCGTGGCAGTCCGGTATGGTAACCGTTCGGCCACGGAGGCAGTTTGCTTTATGCGCGACGAAATGGAGATAGCATGATATGTCTAAATAAATAAATAATATTTTCTCGGTTTCAGAGCTTGTACCATGTTTCAAAAATTGTCACCCATTAAATAAAGCATAAAACCCACGAAGAACGACTGCGAGTCGGACGCGAGCACGGCGGGTGTAATTCCTTATATTTATATCATTGACTTACAAATAAATGGACGACCGGTCTAATACAAAAACCACGAAAAAAATGTCCCAAGTCAACCTATTCGAAATTTAAATTGTAATGTCATCGAAGTATCGCGCTGTCAGTAGAACAAATGAAGACTAAAGCGGAGTGTCGCGCTCTGTATACGATTTTAGCGCCTTACAAGTGCGGACACTTTTTAGCGCGGACCCGACGTCCATATAATTGTAAGTCAATGATTTATATGGACGACAACGTACCACGCGCGGGCACTAGACGAGCGCAGGTCGGGTCCCGCGCCCGCCGTGCTCCCGACCCGCACCCGCTGTCAGAGTATGTCACGATAAGAGTATTATTATTATACAGCGACGCATGTAGGAGAACAAACAAAATGTGAGGATATATAATCTCAGTACTGAGTATTCAAAAAACCAACCTCAAAAATTCGTGGAATCACATCTATTTGCCAAGTTTTTTTTAAATCGGTCACCTGAAAGTACTCGAAACCGGACTCGTCCCCTAGGTTGCTACCCTTAGAGGTGGGATATTTTCTTCAAATTTAAAAGGGACCAATACGGAGGTGACCTCCTTCTCAAAAAAATCGGTTCTTAAATACCTTTTTATCGCGTAACAAACGTACAAAAAAAATTACATTCGAATTGAGAATATTCTCCTTCTTTTGAAGTCGTTCAAAAATAGTTTTTTTTTTGTTTATATTTTATTAAACTAACATCTTTTAATACAAATTTTAATAAAAGGAAATTTACTTTTTTTTGAACTGTGTTTTATGAGAACCTGCTGAAAATTTAAAAACTGTAACAATTTAACATTGATTAAAAAAAAAAACTATTTTTTCAACTAATCTTTATGAAACTTAAAAGAAAGCCAAATTTAGTCGATTAAAACCAATTATTTGAAAAAATGGCATTCGACTAATTTTTATTTTCAAATTACACCTGTTAGGCAAACAATCGACCAGAATTTTTAAAAAAGCACTGCATTCTTTTGGGTAATTTATTATTGTTCCGCTACATGAACCTGTGTGTGTATAAATAAATCAACAATTGCACATTTCAATTAATAAAATAATGTAGCCCAAATTTATTTGTAAATGTAAACAGTGATTGATCGGTAAAGTTAGACCTCATTAATCAGCATTAACACCACGTTCAAATGTCAGGGGCATCATCAGCTCCTTAGGTAAAGAAGCATCCAACTCTTTCTTTGTGTTAAAACAGACTCTGGCCAATCGTCATTTTTAATTCTTGCCGACTAAAAAGAAAAGTCAATGTCATAATGGTTTTTTAATTGTAGTACATAATAGACTTTGTGATATATCATTGGTCAGTTTCAATTTCTAACTGAATTTCCTTGTCATATATTTAGGCAGCCAGAGGCATCGTCAATACACTTGACGGTTAAGCATCCATCCCTAAACATTCTTTTCTTCTTAATTAGCCAATTACTTAAATCAGGCATTGATCTAATTACCATTTCAAATTATTATATACGCCGTAACGATTGTTATATTGTACTTAGTAGATAATGAACTTCGTGCTACATCATTGGTCAGTTTCAATTTCTTATTGACTTTCGCTCTCATAATAAAACCGGCAGTCCATATTTCCTATTGATTTTTTGACGCAAAAGAATTATAACGAATGACGCGATTCGTTTGCTCGGAACAGTTCATATTTAGAAGTAGAGTAGGTTTGTAATGCAAATATGATTAGAAAAAAAAAAACATTTAAGTTACGAGTTTGAAAAAGTAAATACATTTATATTGGAAGCCAGGAAGTTCAGTTTGGCATTGACGTTGTCGGATGCAACAGCGCATTTACGCTGTGGTTCAAGTTACAAGAGTTTGAAACGGAATTTTTAATTTTTTAAGAGAATAATTAATTATTTAATATTGCGAAAATCTATGGCTGACAATTTTCTTGAAACCACTAGTTTGTAATACCATTGACATTCCACTGACATTATATTTCGATATTAGAGCTATATAGAATATCAGTGGAATCGCAGTGATGACATTAATTCATTCAATCATTGACGTGCTATGTTGCCTTACCAAACCGACCATGGAAATTACTATGCATTTTAATCTCTATGTCGTTTAATCAACAGCTTAGTCTTCAAATTAAATATTTTTATGTCAAATAATTAGTAGACTACACCATCGCGACATTGAAGAGCAAAATACCAAACAAGTACGTACTTGGTGCCCAGGTGGAGCCTATTTATCGGTCTCACTAGCATAAAATAAAAGATGGCTACTTTAGAAGAAGGGTCCTTCATAGGGGAGTGTACGGACAAACGTGGCTGACCCGAGCCGCTTTATAGCTAGTAGGGCTAGCACGATAAGGTGCGACTCGCGCAGCCCAGATCGACGCTAATAATTTAACTTTAAAGCCAGTCTAATATTCAGCAACAAATACAATATGTTTTAAAATATAGTGAATAGGTTTGTAATGTTCATTCTTTTGAATTAAACACAGGTGTTTGAAAAGGCGTTTCTCTTGCAGTGATGAAGTATCAGGCCTTATACATTCCAGTACTGGTCAGAGGTCCCCTTTAAACAGACGGTTTATGTAGGTTTAGGTACTCACATGAAGGTTTTTTACTAATAGTTTTTTACCTGTTCAAATGTCTTAATATAGGTTTGCCAAAACGAAAATGCGTAAAGTATTTAAATGAAAAACATTTAACAAAATGAATATCAAACTAATCAATGATACTTATATTTATTCGCCATGTTAATCTACAATATTTGGAGTAAGTTTGGTAAGTAAAATTGGTTTAGTAAAATTATGTTTTTATGTCAAAATTACAGCTCTAAGTGTCGTGTCATGGCCTCTTCGTTATCAAGATCGTGACCATTGAAAGAATTTTGAAAAGACCGAAACAAGTGAAAATCTGAAGGGGCTATATTGGGTGAATACGGTGGATGACACATTACAACCAACTGCTGTTTTTTGAATACGGTGAATGAGGTAACACATCTCTACCGAACTGTCGTTTTAGACGTTTTTCATGAATTGTAAATCTATCTGCATATTCTTAGAAGATGTGCTATTTTTTCAATTGCATGGGTGATCTTCTGCGCGGTCCAGTGCCCTCTACTCTGCCCTTTACGACAAGACGCTCTTTGGAGTCAAATCTACGTCTTGAGTATGTCCGGAGAACTTCATGGTGGGAGTTTGCACTATAGCAGACAGACGCCGTTTGATGCCGAATTCTTGGAGCATGGAGATCTGAACGAAACTATCCACGACACCCAATCATAACGAGGGACAACCCGTTACAGAAATAATATAAACGTAGCTTTAGTTCAGGTTTTTTCTTCTTTGCACCATATTTTACTAAGAGCAATACTTTGTTATAATTATTAATACAAAGATCGAACACTCAGAAACAATTCCTTCGATCCGGCCGGATTCGAACCGACGTCTTCTAGCTTACCGTGCCAGACGCTATACCAATTAAGCCACGGAACGAACCAGCGGACCTCACGAATATTTCTATGTGCTTGCGTCGTGTCTTTGTATTTGGTTTTTCAACGACTTTTTAGTCGTAGCGCCATCTATGAGAAATCTATGAAAGATTTATCACCCCGTTAGTATCTTTACACCAGTCCTAGCGAGTGATGTCGCTATTCACTGTGGTTTAAATTTTTATTGAATTGATATTCAATTATTTTTTGTTAAATTACCTACTCAACTAGTTTGTTATAATTAACTACC